GCGGGCCCCTTGGGCTCCTCGAAGGGGGAGAGGCCCGCGCCCGGGGCGGGCAGCAGCCCGGGGCCGTGCGGCTCCTCCAGGGGCGAGGGGGCCGGGTTGCTCTCCTCCGCGGGGCCGGGCTTCTCCTCCGTCGGGACCCAGTAGGCCTTTCTCTGCTCCAGCAGCTGCTGCAGGGCGCGGTTCTCCTCCCGCAGGAGCCGCAGGGCGCTGTTCTCCTGGCTGCGGTGCCCCTGCAGCGCCGGGTCCTTCTTCGCCGCCTCCTGGACCGCGCTGTCCTTGCGCAGCAGCGGCGACGAGGCCCGGCTGTCCTCGCGGCCGGGCGACAGCTTCTGCTCCTCCCAGAAGACCTGCAGGATCTTGTTCTCCTTGCGGAGGGTCTTGTTCTCCTCGCGCAGGGCGCGGTTCTCCTCCCGCAGGCACTTGTTCTCGTCCTGCAGCAGGTACTCCTTGGCCAGCCGCTTGTGGTGCAGCTTGTGGTGGAAGGACGACGTGGGGGAGAAGTAGGGCGACTGCAGGCGGCAGTTCTCGTTCACCCACCGCCCGTCCTGAAACACGAACATCTCGTCGCTGAGCTGCACGCGGGGAGGGTTGTAGTCCAGCTCCAGGTCCGCCTGGGAGGTGGGGCGCTCCATGGGGTCCAGGGGCACAGAGGAGAAGCGATTCAGCGGGTAGGAGTGCTGGCTGACCACCCTGCGGCTGGGCCTGGGCAGGGCGGCCTGCCTGGGGCAGCGCGGGCTGGAGTACAGGTTGTGGAGTCTCAGGAAGGGCTCGGCCGTGCCCCTCTGCGGGAGAGAACGGGAGGCCCAGAGTTAGTGAAGGGGCGGACACACCCTAGGCTGGCTGACACCCCGCGATAAACCCCGGCTGATGGTCTGGCCTGGCTGGGCCACAGTAGGCACTTTTGCCTCTTGGGGCCCTCACAAGGTACTGCAGTTGATGCTCATTATTCCCCGCAGTGCTGTTCTATGAAATGTCTGAGGACACTGAGCCATGAATTATGACACTGAACCATGACTACTAGGTTAGGTTCCTGAGAGCCCCCGGTCACATTTCATCCACCATTCAGCACATCGCCTATTTGTGTCTGTTGAGAGACACCTTATTTAATACGTATTGTTGATTCGTTAACATTGATCTCTGACGACAGCACTGTAACTCACGCCTGAACAAAGTTCACCTGACACCTGTTTTCTCTGTCAGGCACATCCCTGCCTTCGTGTGCTTGGGAAGACGAGACAGCACTTCAACATGATGCTCTAGGGTGATTTTCGACAGTGAAATCACCAACAAAAAGCACGGAAATGTGAAAAACCTGGAACTAAATAAGCTGTGAAAAAAGACTATTTCACAATAGAAGAGCTGAAAGAAGGCTCCTCACTGAGCACCTTTGCGGCAGGCACCTCAAATGTTTCCTCACTCTGTGAGTGTCCGTGATTGGCCGCGGAAGTGCCATGAGTACGATTTGGGAGTTACAAAAAAAAAAAAAAAATTCAGTGGAAAAAAAAAGTAGGCGAATTTACAAACATGGAATTCACCAATAATGAGAGTCACGGTTCTGTTGCTGATTCGCATGTGAAATGAAGAGCTCTCTCGCCCTTCCTGAGACCCAGATTTTTCACCAGGAACAACAAGGTTGTCAAACTCCATGATCTCAAATTAGGCACCTTCCAACATTGAAAGTCAGTGAAATGTGCCAAAAAAAAAAATGGAAATAAAGCGTGCCCTGCTTGGTTCACAACACTTTGTGAGGATTGAATGAGAGAGGAATGCAAAAGTCATTTTAAAACTGCCAGGTGGCATAGAAATGTAAGGTGTTACCCGGAAAAGTAGGCTTCACTAATGGAAGAATTCTGAGTTGCATGCAAAAAGTGGTGAACAGGTGAAATGCATCCTGGAGAAGACACAGCAACCGCAGCAATACATTTAAATAAAAATATGATCGTGATATTTACTTCTGAATACACTGAAAACATTTCATCCAAGTACATCGCAATGCTCTCCAAATACAAATTCCTTATTTATTACGTTACTTTCACTATTTTACAGATAGAGAAGATAGAAAATAAGTCAGGTTATATACTATATTTATATAGTGTATACTTGTATATCTCTAACATATACTGTGTGTGTGTGTGTGTGTGTGTGTACATAGAGATAATTTGCACAGTGTATAAGGTTGGTTAGAATTCCTTAAGACCCAACGAGTTAGACAAATAGATGGCACAGTTCTATGCCATTAACTTTACAATAAGCACATGTCATTAATTTTGTAAGGATGTGATTAATCTTCCAAATAGTGAGAGTGTGAGGATATTCTGTAATCACATCCTTATTTGCTTTAAATAAATCCAGCCTCCATAGTTTTTATATTTCTCAACTGGAAAAGCACATTGGCTCTTGTGGCTGAACCATTCTGTGGTTTATCCTCAGAATGAACCTCATGGAGGATAGTCCACACCATGTCCTTGTAAATTTAAGGTCCTTTGATCTAGATTTCTGGGAAGATTAGCCAAGGTCAACAAGGAGTACAACTGGAGAGGTCCTCTTCATCCTTAAACTAGAAACAATGCAGGCTCCATATCAGCAGCGTCTTACTCTACACCAGTGGCTCTCAACCTTGGCTGTACATTACAATTACCTGGGATTCTTTTTAAAATCCTGATTTCCAGAGGATAAGGCCCAGAAATCAGGATTTTAAAAAGATTCCCAGGTGATTCTAATATGCAGCCAACGTTGAGAACCACTGCTCTACACTATCTTATTATGGAAAATGCAGTTTTAGTCAATGATGTGTTTCCCAATCCTGAAAAAGAAAGGGAAGAAGGAAACAAATATTGAGCCTCAATTTTGTGCCAGGCCCTGAGCTGAGCATTCTATCTATCGAATTACCTCACGACACTGAATTTAAAAGGTGTTATTATTATTCCCATTTTACAGATGGAGAAACTGAAACTCAGATAAGTTAAATAACCCGTATCAGTTCACTTACTAATCCACAAACCCAGTTCTGGTTCCCTGAACTTATATGTCTGAGGAATACACATGGGGGATTGCCATGGATTTATCAAAGGATTTGCAGTACTTTGGGAGTCAAGACACTTTTTCCTTACCTTTTCATTATAGAAAATTTCAAACATATATAAAAAGATAAAGAGAATAATCTAATAATTATTAGATGTGTACATTGTTTCATGTACTCATCACCTAGCTTCAGTAATTATTAAATTGAGGCCACAATTGTTTCATATATCCCATCAGCCAATTCCACAACCACTCCCTTGTCACTGGGTTGTTTTAAAGCAAAGTGTAGACATTGTCTCATTTTATCCATAAATACATCAATGTGTATCTTTTAAACAAAACCACAATACCATTATCATCCTTTTAAAAATTAGCAATAATTTCTTAATATCAGCAATTACTGAGTCAGCGTTCAAATTTCCCTAATTGTCTTATTTCTTTTTTAGGATTGTTTGATTTCAATCAGAGAGATAGTCTTCTTGATCTAAGTGTATGTCCAAAGAGAAATGTATAATGCTTTATATCTGCTCAGAGAATCCAAGGTGGCCTTTAAATCATCCTATTCGGCTGCCATTATTCTATATTCACTTTCTGAACTGGGTACTCAATGAATTTTCAAAGTTAAACATATTTCAGAACTCAATGAATTTCCCAACAGAAATGCACTAAATAAAAACTTAATGTGAAGTGATGGTTCCCTGGCTGTGGATAATCTGGTGTCTGGGTCCTTATCTTTGTGTATGCCATCAGGTGGCATAGTCATGTCCTAACACCTTTTGACCTTTGTTTCCACTTCTGTATAATGAGGGTCGGTGGCATTACCTCTAAATACCCTCTTAGTCTAACTTCCTCTGGTTCCGCAGATCCATGTTTGTGAATGGGTACCACAATGCCCCCAGAAGAATTCTTTTACTAACCTAGTTGACATCTTGTACCCTCCCTTAAATGGTCAACACTTCCTAGCAAGACCCTGTTGCCTTCTCTGTTCCATGCCCACCATTCCTGATTCAGAAAATGTTGATGGACTAATAGGTTCCTTTACTTCTTTACCCAGGAGACCAAATTCTCCCCTTATAACTGAGTTCTAATATCTTTCCTTCTATCTCCAGATAGGACCAAGAAAGAGATCAAATCCACTACTGACTCATGGCCTAGTCTTTTAGAACACAAAAACATCTTCACTTTAGCCTCAGCTACCCAAGATGAGGCTAAAGTAAAGCAGCACCTTTCTATTTCTGAAAGTGAGAAGATACTAAATATGCAGGCATTTCAGATATGCCAAGAGTCCTGATTGAACTTTGGGAAAACATTATGCCAAGACAAATTCTTTCCTTCCCATGATATTTCTCTGATTGCAATCAGACCAGCTGAACTTAGTCCTCAAATGAAAGTTCTTTTCTGGCCTTGTGAAAACTCCTCACCCTAATCTAGTCCCACTCTGAATGTTATTGCGCCAATTATTCTTCCACATTTATGTTTATGAATCAACTAATATTCCTTTAGCATCTGGTCTCAGACCTTATCCTCAGGGAACTTCCAGTCAATTTAAAAAGTCAGTTATTAGCACCAACTATATTTTGGTGCAAATGAGAGAGGTCAAAGTTCCACAAGCATTAATGCAGGCAGTAAGGATGGGGATCCGCGGCTGGACACCTGGAGAGTCCTGGCTTTGCACTGTATGAGTGCATGACCTTTTAAAATATTTTCATTTCCATGCTTATATTTCCATGTATAGGATATGTGGATGCTAACATGATGTAGAGCCACCCCTTGTTTGTGCAGGTTGTACAATGACAAACTCCAGAGGGTGCTATTTACAACTGTTGTTGCAGTGCACAACCTTACTATAAATGCTGCCCCACCGTAGCTTATTGTAGAATTCAAAATAAAATAATAAAATGTGATATTTTCTTTGTTTATAGTGAGCTACAGAAATGCAAGGATGTACTTCGGTTAGGAAGATAAGTTGTTTAGCATTTCCTTAGAGAAAAATTTATAGAATAAGAAAAAGAAAATAACACTTACTGAATGACTATTATATGACAACTAGAGGCCCAGTGCATGAAAATTCAGCCCAGCCTGCCCTCTCTCACAGTCCGGGAGCCCTCAGGGGTGGGAGGCAACCTGATGATCAGAAAAAGGCGACACCCCATCACACCTCTGCTGCTGCCACTGCTAGCAGTGCAAGCCTCAGCCGGCCCTGGTTACCTGAGCCTTGGGCAGCCCTGGGCAGGTGGGCAGCCACCATCTGAGGCTTGCCTGTGCCTTGGGCCAGCCCTGGGTGGCTGGGGGGCTGAGGGGACTGGGGGACTCTGGAGGTAGGTGCATGGAGCCAGGCCCACCCTGGGGGTGGGCCCGGCCTTGGGGTATGCCTGCCACCCTGGTTAGGCTGAGGGGACTGGGCACCACCATCTTGTGGCTGTGGGTGCAGCCATCTTTGAGGGGGTGCAGCTAATTAGCATATTCCCTCCTTATTGGCTGTGGGCCCCACCATCTTTGGGGGTGGGGCATTTAATTAGCATATCCCTCCTTATTGGCTGTGGGCACTGCCATCTTTGCCACGGCGTGTCATATCATATGACAATATGATAATTGATTTCCACATTCATAGTTAATGTCTTACCAAAAAGAGCCACCCATGATTCTACCTCAGATCACATAGCCAAGAAGAGGGCAAAACCATGGTTTAAAACCAGGCTGACTCAAATGGCATGCTTAGCCCCTTTTGCACAAAGGCCAGATGCTTTATTTTGTATCTGTTGATATAATTACTTTGCAGTGGTTCTCTTATGTTCTGTCCTGTCTTCTCCCTAGGTGAATAAATTGCAGCTCTCTAAGACAGTGACCTGTTCCTTTTTTTTTTTTTTTTTACATCCTTAGTCCTGGAAATTAGAATAGCACATTTCATATACAGTGGAGGCATAATGAGTCCTTGCTAATCAAACCAAAATGCACTGAAAGCTAAGGAGGAGATATTAGGTTGAAATATGTGAAACTGTTAACATTGTGCCATTTTTGGCTTACAAAAGAAGTGATTTTGTTTGTCTTAATATCCTAGTGTATTTGATAAAGCTATGTCCTCATTTCAATTCATATTTTTAAACTGCAGAGCTGTTGCTGCATAATATAAGTGATAAAACAGTGGAAGTCACCTCATGTGAATCTCACAAAACTGTAGATTCATCTATGTAGCTCTTCAGCTGTCCCCTGCATACAAATGCCTCGGGCATGCTGGTTGTCCATATCACCATCTTAAACTTATAATCTAATGAGTGCTGAGGCCGAAAATTCTCAGTAACTTTGGGCTCAAATGTCCCATATCTTTGAGTGCTCTTCAGAAAGTCACTTAGCTACTCTGAATGTCACCTCTAAAATGAACCTAAATGTAGCTGGTCTACCTGTTTCCTTAAGTTGTTCTGAGAGGCCAAGAAAGTGGTAGGCAAGCTGTCATAAAGACCAGATGGCCAGGTCTACTTGTAAGGCTTAAACAAAATTCCTGGCCTATGGCAAATGCTGAATATATTTCTTTACAAAAGGACTTTCCAAAACGTGAGCATTTATGCTAAGCAAATACATGAGGTACAAAATCCCAGGCCTCCTTAGCCTATGTTTGAAGCCAGCTCCTTCTCAGGAGGTCACCTTGACCAGTGGTCTCACTGGGTGGGTTTTGTAAGCTAAGTTATTCTGTCCTTGATGTCCTTGAGCCCTGACAAAAGATAGGAGCTAACAAAAAGCTCTTGGAACATCCCTGAAAGTTCTGCTAAGCCTGGAGGCCGAGCCTTTGGCAGCAGGTCCAAGTCCCCAGAGCAGCTTGGCCCAGGAAGATTGTCTCCTCCCTGATCATTGGGAAATGCTTTCACAATAAGACATATCCAGTAGGAGGGAGAGGAAACAGTTGGCTTCTTCCTGGGAGAATGGGATATGAGGATGGATGGAGGAGAGAAATACAATTTGCTATGAGGTTCATGATACCTTCCCTTCAGGCCTTATTAGGAAGGTGACCAAGAGACTAGAGATTCTGCCCTCAGGAGAATGTGCTCATAGTTGTAACCTAAGATGTGTTTATGCTGGGGATTCAGGAAGAGCCCTTAATCCTTCACAGATGCCTGAATCTCACCGATGAATGGGAATTGTTCCTTAGCATCAGGCCTGGCCTTCTCCCTGTCATTTCCTTCTTAAATATAAGTGATCCTGGAAGAAAAATGTTTGAAATCACCAACAACTGGGTGCCTTTGTCAGATCACCAGCCTCCTGGCAAGTGGAGAGAACAGAGGAAGAGTGGTCAGTGGTGGGGGAGAAGAGGCAAAGGGTAAAGGGGTAGGTGATAAGACCAATGTCTCTTACTGATGCTATGGCATTTCTAAGGAACAGGACTCTGTGTGGGACCTTTTGGGGTGGAGTTCCTGGGGTTGGTGGCTTCCCATCTAAATGGGTTTAGGGACAGGACTGGCCAGGCTTACCTAACACTGAAGTTCTCTCCACTCCTGTAACAGTGTGGCTACCGCACACCAGAAAAGATGTCCAAAGCCTAGTAGATTCCAAGACTATTAACCAAGTTTTTTAAACACCTACTTTGCCAACAGTACTTAGAGTTACAATCAAAGAGCATTCAGCCATCTGAGGTACTTACAGGCATAGGAAGCTGAAAGGCCCAGGATGTTAGAAGGAAGGGCCAGATATGCTACTAATTTTCAGATGAGGTGACAAGGCTGAAGCTCATTATCAGCTCCCTATACCATGTTAAAATCAATGTTTATTTTAATGCAAATAGGTAAGAGGATAATCCACAGGTGAATGTAATTGATTTTAATAAATTATAACATTAAGAGCAAAGAGGATAAATATGTCATCATGTATGGTAGTTTCAGCTAATTGCTTAACACAGAATCTCATGAAATCAAATTGGCAGAGATATTGGTATTGTCAGCAGACCCCATAACTTCTAAAGAACAAACCCAAACAAATGGGATTGAGAAAAGGCAAGTGGAGGAATGAGGGAGCCCTGGAGGGTGCTTTCAGAGTATAGATACTTCATTAATGATCTAGTAGTAAACACCTTTATGAAATTCACAGATAGTGCTCAGTTGGGGAAGCAGGGATGCCTGTGAGAACTAAATCATCATAAATATATGTACCGAAGGAACCAGGAGGTCAGCTAGCTTGGGCAGGAAATAACACTGATGGCTTGCAACTTAATGTGCTGAATGGAAATAGATCAGAAAACGCAAATATTTAATATGAGGAAGAAAAACTAGGAATTAATAAGACCTGGAAAGACCTAAGGGTGATAACAATTAGTGTCATAGGCATTTGCCATGTAATTGAGGAGCTCCAATGCCCAGCTTGATTGGGAGCTGGGAGGCCAAAGGCACTTCCTGGACACACAGAGCTGCTGATGCAATTCCCTTCTAAAACGAATGGACTCAGTTCCAGAATAAAGCAGTATGTGACAGATACATGCAGGAAGGTCAGGTGCAAACAGGTAAGATGCAGGGAGAGGAGGCACTATCTATAAAAGCAAGAAAAGAAGCAGAAGGCTAAGGCATGGCCTGGCCCAGCCAGGTGGCATGTGCCCAGCCTGTGGTGTAGCAGAGTGAGTGGGCATTAACCTGGTTTTAGGCCCCTAACTCCAGCTCTGCTGTTATTAGTAGGGTTCCTGGGGTTCCCAGTTCCTGTATTTATATAATCTCTGCCTCACACTTGCATGGCCCAGGGCTCAACACATGATCAAATCAGTGCTCGGTAAGATAGTTCTCCTTCCCCTTGTTAACCACATCAATCCCTTTCCCCAAGCCTGGAGGAGGTCCAACGAATTCATTGGTCCCTCTCACAGCCCTAGTGGTGGCACAGTTCAGATAATCTAAACTGACAGATGACCATACCCCTCCCCCAGTGCACCAGCCTAGAACATCATGGCAGGTGTGTGAAACCTGGTACATGACTTATGTCCCCATGGCAGGTGTATCCACGATGCCATATCTGCCCATAAGGAGCACATGTGCCCAGGGCAGCAGGTATCCTCCCATCCCATGCCCTCCATGCACTCCTGGACCCCAGCAGGAGCATCAGGTCCTGCAGCACAGGAAGTGGATGGCCCCAGAACAAGCTCGAGTCTTTTTAAACCACTCTCCAGTTCTGTTCTCTTTCTCTCCTCCGCCATGCTGGGTTGTTTCTGGGAGGCTGGCAGGGCGAGTTATGCTAGGTTTAAGACTTTCATAATTCTCTATCACATGATCACTATTTCAAACCCTATTCTGACCCCCATGCTCAACCCCATCTTCAGGTTGGTACCCTCTGCCAGTCCCTTAACAAAACAAACATTGATTTATATGAGCCGCGAACAAACCAAAGGAGCAACACCCATCAGCAGGAGAGTGGTGGCCAACAGACCTGCATGTGTATTTTATGTGGAAAGAATCAAACCTAAAACAAGGTTCCTGCAGTTGTAGGAACCCTGTGGGCAAGCCATCCTGTCTAATGATCAGGATGAAGTTAGCTTATGTTCTAAGCTTCATGAGCTGAAGCAGAGAAGTAGCTGTTCACTACAAAGTTATAGAATAATGTGAGAACCAATAGCCAGAATGCGTTTTTGTCCTGTATGTGTCCTC